CAGCAAGGGAGGGATTGGGGCTGAGGCTGGGGCTGGCACAAGCTGCCCAGCTGAGGTGGCGTGGTGCAGGACTTGGGGAGGGTGGCTCCCGTCACTGCATGCCACCACATGCCGCTGGTTCAGTAGGGCGTGGGAGTGGGTGTGTACCCCAGAATCTGCGTGGAGCGGGCTAGGCCGGGCTGCTCTCTGTAAGGCTAGCCCCAGCCTCCTGCCACCAGGCTGTGCTCTGCCCTGGCTCTGCCCGCCCTGCAGAGTGCAGTGGAATGGAGGATATGAGGGGCTACAGCCACCCTAATATTCCCCATAGTCCCTGCTGCCAGCCCCACTCCAATCCAGGTGCACACACTTGCCCCCATGTCCTGCCATTGCTTGCCTAGCCCGGGCGAAGCAGCAGCTTACCCAGAAGGTGCAGGGAAACTGGGTGAGCAGTGGGAGGGCTTACCCCCACTCCCAGTGCCTTCTGCTGCCTCTCCAGAGTGCAGCCCAGCCCAGCCTGACCCACATAGATCTGGAGGCATACACCTACTCCCATGCCCTCCTGGATCAGCAGTGCGTGGCAGTACACAGTGGCCGGAGCCTCCCTCCCCAAGTCCCGTGCCCCCCTGCCCCAGCTGGGCAGCTTGTCCCAGCCCCAATCTCTGCCTCACTGTGGGGGCATTGATTGGCTCCCCTTGCCCCTTCCCTCCCCCCTCTGCCCACCACAACATACTTATCAGCTGGAGGCAGCTGTGTCCAGTGTGGTTGAGGACTGCTGCCTGTTTAGTCTATGACCAAGTCTCCGAATTGGTGTCAAATCTTCAGGTCCAATTCAGTGGAATTGAATTGGGACAGTGATTCGAATCACCAAATTGAGTCACTGTCCCTCTGAATCAGCTGAACCTGAATCTGAAGTGAATACTACTTGCCACTTTGCTGCCTACACTCAACCAGACTTGCTGGCATTATGCTCCCTCAAATATTGCAAATAATTGTTGCAAGCCAGTGAAATGCATCCAGAATAAAAGATGTAATTATTTTCTGATTATATAAGGCAGCAACATATTAACACCAAACCACCTCAGGGGAATCAAGGAAGGAGCTGTCACTCAGAGAGGTGTCTCACTGTCTCTCGGTCACAGCAGTTTCTGGTGGTATTCCCAGGATGGAGCTCTGACAGAGACTAGCAGGCACAGAGTATCTGCCTGGCTTCCCCCTGATAAACAGGGATTATTCCCCCTCCCCTCTGCCTTGCTGTGAGGTGTTTGTGTATTAACTAGCAGACCACATGCTGGCTATGGTCCATGCTGTGGGAGACGAAAGGCAGACAAGCTTTTTGGAGCTAATCAAGAGGTAGCTTAATGTCCTTCTTTGGAAGAGCTGTTTAAGAAGAGCTCCATTAGTTAATGGAGAGAGGCTTTGTCTTCTTAATGGGTTGATAAACACTAAGTTAGGGGTGATAAATATTCCCTGCAGGGCTGCTTAGGTGGGAAGGAATAATCAGAGTCCTGTCAGGGCCTGGCCACACCGCCCTCAGCTCAGCCTGTGCAAGGGAAGGGAGGGCTGCTCTAGCACGTCCCGGCTTCTAGCCTGAGCCACTGCAGGCATGTGCCTGCACTTCTGGGATGTCTGTCCAGTTACAAAACTGATTTAGCCTAGCCAGGTTAGACTAACCTGCAAAGATTGAATCAATTCAAGCTCAGGCTTTTTGAATGTCTGTCCCTAGCCAAAAAGACTAATGTGCAAATTAAACTCTAAGGACCACTGGGATTTATTCACAGTGCATGTTGTTTTAAAGAGGATTGGTTGGTTGTAAAATATTTCTTGGTTAAACTTGCATGTTTCGGTTTCTGTGAGAAATATAAAATATTTACTTATATAGTGTATATGTAAATGGAGGCCAGTCGCATAAATACAGCTAACTAAAAAGCCTGATTTAAAAGGTAGCTCAGTTACAAAAGCACCATAAAGTATAGATTTTTATTGGAATTTAAAGTAAAGTAGGTGAAACTATTATAGAGAATGCAGTCAAATAATCTCTTCTCATGGAATCTGCCCTAGTTTTTTCTCAGTGTTAGTATAGTCTTCCCTCATTCTGTGTATTCTATTTTTTCCTTTCCTTTTTAATAGCCCCAGTCTAGATGTTAATGTCAAGGTGTTATCTGTTTCATTTAGATAGCAGGCTCCTTTGAGGAGGGCTCCTCTCTGCTTGCTGGCCTGTAAAGCAACAAGAACATTGATGTCACTCATTATATATATCAAAACTAAAAATAATCCCAAGCTATTACCTCATAGGATGATAATGCAACAGATAATGATATACAGTGTATGTGTGTGTGTGTGTGTATAAAAATTCCAGAGCAACAAACTGAGACAGACCCTTAAAAGTGTCAATGGTCTATGGAGGTATAGGGAAATTTAAAAAAATAGGCACTGGTTTTGCCAACCCCTGGAGAGAGCACGAGAGGGAAAAAGAAATCTTGCTCCCAGCTTAGTGGGGTATAAAATTTGCTGAAGGTGAAAATGTTATTTCAAAGAATGAAGGAGATGAAACAGGTAAGTCCCAAAGAATAGAGAGAGCATGAGCAGTGAATTAAGGGGATCAAAAGGGCAAAACATTTTGGAGGGTTGAGATAGTTCTGTGACCTTCTTTTAGTTTGTTACTATTGGGTTACTGCCTTTCATCAAGTGGAGAAGGAAGACTTTATGGCCTAAATAACTGTGGTAATGGTGTCCTTTATATTCAGTGTAAATGTATAATTCTTGATGCATTGGGAAAGAGGACCTCTTCTCTTCCTGGAATAAGACCCCTGCATAACTCCTTTCACCCTGCTGCAGTTCTCTGCTAGCAGGACTACTCAGGCACATCCAGATGAGAATGGACATGTAGCAGTACGTGGTGCCATAGACCTGTTTGTGGTGCCACACACAAAACATGCAAGTGTTCCCTGCACTGCTACTTTTCAGTGTGGGGAGAGGTTTGAACCTGGCAGATCCCAAGGTCAAAAAAACCCATGCAGAAAAAAAACAGGGTGGTGCATGTGGTTGCAGCATGCACCGCCTAAAACTGGGGCTTGGCCAGCCGGAACCAAATTGATTCAGAGAAATTCTGAAAGATTCAGAGATTCGGACATACAGACAGCTTTAAATGTTTTTTCTACAGACCTCTAGATAGCAGGCGGCTTGTGAGTGCTGCGATGCTGGGGTGCATGAAGTGTCCTGCAGAAGTGCAGGGGGGCTCCCCAGTGCGCTCAGCAGCAGACCCAGAAGTGGACCAGAAGCACTTCCGGTCCACTTCCAGGTCCACTGAGGAGCATGTCAGGAGGCCCCCCGATGCCTCCCCAGATCAGTGACTGGTGCCTCCTGGGTCTGGGGAGGGCACCTGGGGTCCCCCTGCAGCCAGTCGCTAAGCCGGGGAGGCACAGAGGGCCCCTAGCGCACTCCCTGGCAGACCCGGAGGTGGAGCAGAATGGAAATGGACTGGAAGTATTTCCAGTCCACTTCTGGGTTCATCACCAAGCATGTGGAGGGCCCTCCTGCACTCCTGTGAGAAGCTCCATGTGCCCCAGCATCACAGCGATCACAACCTGCGCTGGTACCTCAAGGTATGTAGAAAAAACATTTAAAGCTGTGTCTGTCTGAATTGCTGATTCAGTGAATCAGCATCAAATCTTCAGATTTGGATTTGGTCAAATTGGATCAGGGACAGTGATCCGAATCAATGCATCAAATCACTGTCCCTGATTTGGGCCGAATCCAAATCGAATAGGGCCTGCTATGCATATCCCTATTATGTTAATATACAATGAGGATGTGATTAATATTTACCATCTAGATTAAGTCCACAGATATACAGCACCTGACTCTTCTCTGCCTTATGCCATGAATGGTTATTTTCTTCTGTTCAGATTTAGTTTAAAATGTTCATGAAACACATTTGACAACCATGTTGTGAAAAAGCAATGGACTATGCATGACACTAGACAGCAGACCATCAGGGCCATATTACAAAAGTAGTAGTAATAATAAAGTCATTTCTTAAATAGAGCTGAGGGGATCCTTGTCTGCAGCCCTTAATGATTATTAGTTATGATTATAAGGGGATCCCTCTCAGAGTACCTAAATGATTGATTGATAGATTATTTGTGATGCCATCCACAGTGCACTGTAACTCTTCTGTGCAAAATGAGCAGGTCCCTAACCTGAGTTCAGAGAAGGCAAGAGACTGGTAGGATGAGGTTACAGAATGGGAACACGAAGGGGTATGTACCTCCAATCTGCACATCACAATTGCTTTTTTACTTCCTGGCCAGGAAAAACGATAAATAAATTAGCATAAACAGGCATTTTAGAATGGTCAGTGCATATCCTTTCAGCTCAGTTCTGTGCTTCTCTTTATTTTATTTTACTTTGATCTGGCCAGCATCCCAGATATTCTGTGGAGGAGAGTTATACTAGAAAATTAGGCAACAGTTGGCCAGCTCTATGTGCCAACCGCTGTTAGGCACTCCCAGGCGGTTGTTATTGCTCCCTGAGCCACCAGATGTCAGCACTGAACAAAAAAATGAAAACGTAATGCTGTGAAGAACAGACCCACTCTGAAATGTAAAGTGAACAGGGTGCAACAGGGAAAACATTAAACAAATTTGCAAGGTCTGAACCCTGTGCCAAGCTTCCTTTGAGCTGGGAGTACTCAAGCTGTCTGTGGTTCAGTTGTAGTTTCATGTTTGTTTCCAATACCTGGAAGACCTGGACCAAAGAAGATAATCCCTGTCACTGGACCTACTCTCCTACAAATGTGGTTAGGGCCTCAAATGGTGAATGGTCTCTGCACATGTGTATAAGGGGTTGGAAGGATACAAGTAGCTTTCCTTTCCACCCTTTCCAGGGTCATGTTGCACTGCAGTCTTTGAACCCAGGTGAGCACAAGAATTACAAGACTGTCCTAATCACATCATTTTGTTGTGCATGTACCACTTTCATACATAAGACTTAAAGCATTTCTTGCTACCTTCATCTTTCAGATGGGCACAAGGAGAGGAAGTGACTGGGTATGAGGTCACCTGACAGGCCCGTGGCATAGTCAAGAACAACACCCACATCTTCATCCAGTGCTCTGTCCTTTTGATGATGGCTCTCCAGGTAGGAAAAGGAGAAGGAATATGGTCCTAGAAAATGCCATGATCTTTAAAGAGACTTTGTACTTTAGGAAGGTCCAGAAGGCATGAATCTATGACACCAAATCCATCTTAAAGGAGAATAGTGCAATTACTACCAGCTTGTATAATGATCTATGAGCAAATTCTCTGAAACTGCCAGTACTGCTATTATGCCCTGATACTACTGAGGACATATGTGTGGGGAGAAAAATATTGTTGTCTTGTGCTGGTGTACAACCTAATTCCTCTTCTTTCATGACTCTGCAATGTAGTCATGGTAAAGTGCTTAGGATGTTAGTCTGTTGCCAGGGAAATAATTGTTGTATCAGTAATTCAGCACTTTTATCGTCACTGTGGGAAGGAACAGGAGAAGATGGGTTGTTAAAAAGCAAGGCTATACACAAACCTTTGGTCTAAGCCAGACCTGACCCTCATTGAATTCTAAGGAAGGATTAGTTTTAAATGCCTGGCTCCCAACTTGCCTTTGTTGTCTGATTCAGGGAGGAATAAAAACTTGAAGGGAATGATTTCCTGATCTAGTTTGGATAAGGCCAGAAATTATAGGAGAGGCAGAGTGGGCTGAAGTGTACTTGTGTGTGTGTGTGTATATATATCTTTTTTGGCAGTCAGTGGAATTAATTGAGATTTTCACTGGTGTGTAACTGAGAGGAGCCTGGGCCCTGTGCCTAGGAAGTAAGTGTAATTTAGTACTGTTTGCCAAGAGAAAGCAGAGTTGTGCTGGGATGGCTGTATTCAACCTACTCAGCTAGTTGTGCCTCCTTCCTAAAACAGTTTAACTGGAATCTAGGCTGATGTGATACTTCAGGACTGTGGAGCAGATGTTTTGTCCCCCAGTCTATTGCTCACTGGAGGGAGGGACTGTCAACTAGCCAGGTTATATATGTCGGCTTGGCTAATACCTGCCTCCCAATTGTCAACTACTTTTAAAGGCACTGGGATCGGTAGTACAGACCTGGGAGAGGGGATGATCTAGTGAAGAGGGTACTAACATGGGGTTGGGAGATACTGGTTTTCTTCCTAGCTCTGCCACAGGCTTCCTGTATGACTTTGGCCAAGTCGCGTAGGGCCAGCAATTTAGAGATATTTAGGTTAGGCCCTTAATGTCCCTTTTTTCATGACTTGGTCTCCCTGTGTCTCAGTTTCCCAAACTGTAGGATGGAGATAATAGCCCTGTTCTGCATTGCAGGGATGCTGTGAGGAAGAATGCACCACAAACCATGAGGTGCTCAGACATTACCATGACAGGGGCCATGTAAATATCTCGGTATGCCTAATTCACCACTCCATTAAACCACTTTGATGCCAGTATGACCCTACTGACTTTACGGTGTGCACAAAGTTAGGCTATACAACAACCCAATATTCTCATGACAGGCTGTCACCCTCCTGACTTCAGCAGACTAATGCCGATGACAGACTGGGACATGTGGGTGTCTCATAGTCAGACTCTATTCTCCAGCCACTGCATAAAACCAGCTCTGCTTTAAATCATACTGATGTGTCTGTGGGCTTCATACTGGCACAGACCCATTGGTCCTTTGTGCTTAAGATACAAAAGAAAAGGGCAGACAGATGCACTTGGGGCTCTTCATTGCATTTAGAGCCCTTTGGCAGTAGGGATTATTTTTCTCTAGGGAGACCCAAAACTGTTTCACCCTTGTTCTCTCAACTTTGTGCACACTTTTTAAATTTACCTTTCCTTTTTATAGTCTTTAAGTGGAAAGGAAACACACCTGCTAAAACACCTCCAGCACTTCAAATAAAATAGAATGGCTCTCACAGATGGGCAGGTGGTTGGTGAAATGGCTGTGTTGAGCAGCAAAGCCCTTCTCATCTCAATTTGTTTAACCTGCTCTTGTGCTAGACACCTGTATCATGTTGGCAATGTACTTGTCTGAAGCCTGGAAAGGAGAAAGGCAGGTTCACATCCAGCCAGGTGACATGTATTTATTTGATGTCAGCGGGGGAAAAAGTAGTATTTTTTTTTCTGAATGCAGCTGGAGAAAAACTTTCCAAGAAAGAGGCACAGAAGTATAAGAGGACACAGGAGGGGGAACTTTTATGATTCTGGAGTCAGTAAGGGTGTGTTACATGCTTTCTAGCTCTAAGTGAACACAGTGCACAGGTGGCACTGGAAAGGCAGAGTAGCACTGGAAAAAACTGCAGCCATCTGATTTGGGTTTTCCTGGCTTTGACAATTGTGACAATGCCCAAGATCCATATAGCTGTATATCAGACAAGCTGCAAGTTTTCATTTACAAGTGACCTGAGGAAGAATAAATTGCGGCTAAAAACTTGTCTTAAGATCTCTCCCAGCTATGTGGTTAGTCCAATAAAAGAAGTCCCTCCCACCCCACTTCCTACCTGACCTCTCTGATTCATGCCTCGGACTGGCCTGTGATGTCAGCCCCTGTTGCTCATTTTTAAAAAATCCTCAAACAGGCACCCTAATGCTTTCTTCAGCACTGCCCTTTGCACTTGGGAAGAAACACAGTATCCTTATGTTCTTCTTTTTCTGGAAGCCTATGGAAAGCTTAATAACTGTCTGCTATTCTGGGTGGGAAACAGTTTTTCAGAAAAAAACTTTTCAAGATTTCCAGAGCATTGCTGTTCCACATCAGGATGAAACTAGAACATCTGGAAGGGGGCAGGGGAGGGGAGTGGTTTTTTTCTGTATTTCTTTTGGGGGGGGAGGGGGGGAGAACTGACCTGTGACATAGGAAATGCAGATGCTCTAATGAATAGTTAATGGTTTCCATAAAAAGGAAAAGCTTCAGCAGGATGTCATCCCTGAATGGCATCCTAGAATGGCCAGACCCTGGTGACAAGGCCATTCAGTTTGGATCTAGGAGAAAGGCAGCCTTGTTGCTGAGTCTCCCATTTCCCTGATGAGTGTCCTAAAAACCAGACTCTGGACTAGTTTGGGGTGTTTCTCTCTCTACAGTGATGACCTTGGATTTGAAGTCTTTCCTAACAAAGATTTGATCAAAGTTGATGTGTCCAGGGCAAAGTTTCTGTTTTGATGACTTGACATTTTCTGATGAGGGGTAAAAATGTTTTGTCTAAAAATTCCTCCTCAATTCTATTGCTGAGACTGCTGACTAATACTGACTCGTTGTTTTTGTGTACTTGTTTCTATGTCCAGTATTTCTTGTCTTGTATGTTATGCTCTTAGGTGTAGGACCATGACTTTGGTTTACATTTATACAGTGTCTTCTACTAGGCAGTTCTGGTTCATTTTTGTGTCCTACAGTAATACAAATAATCAGTAATAATAACAATATAGTCTGAAAATAAATCCACAGGGCCAGATCCTCAATGGAGGTAAACGAGTGGCTCCAAATTAGCTGTGCTGAATTACATTAGCTGAAGATCTGGCTTACCAGGCAAAATAGAAGCCTGGCTGTGTAAATACTTGTTCCTATGAGTAAAGGATCATTCACAGTGAAGATTAGCAGGAGGGGACCTGAATCCTTAAAATGCACCACTTCTGAATTAGGCCAAGTAGTTCATTAAGTTGTGATATTGAATACAGTAGCAACTAAGGTGTCTGAGCTAGTCAAAAAACAGATTTGTAGGAAACTTTGAACCTGTTTCCATTTTTCCAGGTTCAAAATAGACCCATTTTCTGGGGTTTTGATTTTTTGATTTTTAGGTTATTTTTTCCCCTAGAAAAGTTTGTGACATTTTAATTCCATTTAATTTTAATCAGAATTAGATTCTAGATCATAACAAACATTTTCTTTTACTAAAAATACAAAGTAGCCCCCTTTCCCCCCTCCAAACCACATATCCTTTTTTATTGAATAGGATTTTGATAAAAGACTAAAATGTTATGGAAGTTCTCAATAGAAATTTTCAACAATGTTCACAGTGTTTTATGAAAAGTTTCTATATTTTTGGAAATACAATTTTGTAACAACTTTTTATAACCTACTGGTGATGTCATCTTGATTGTCTGAACTCTCCACTAGTCACATATAAGTGTAACACACTTCTAGGTTCTTCCTCATCTGACACCATCCTAATTGGTTCAGCGTATGTGATGTTGTTGAACCAACTGTGGTAATAAACATTAACTGTGTATTAGAGCGTGCACTGAGACTCTCTGGATCCTGTCTCTAAGGGATGCATATATTTTTGTTTCTTCATGAGCAGTAGATATAGTGGATTTTAAAGGGGAGTAAAAGACTTCATCGCATAATTTTATATTCCATATTTCATACCAAAGGTGGGTGGAATACAGTTCTCATATCAATTTTACACCAGTGTAACTTCATACTTCCACTTCAGGTTTATACAGAAGAATATCAGACTTCATTCTGGAAATATATTTTTTTTAATTCTGTCAGACAAAATAGTACACAGGCAATGTGGAGTATAAGCAATAGAAAGTTGTGATGTGTGCAGACTAAGTATGAGCATTTCATCTTAAGGCTAGTCACCCAGGGCTGCATGCTTCCACCCTGGCTGGTGGAGAATAATGTGTAACTCAGTAAGTTCTCCCTGCCTTACCCAGGGAGAAAGGCAGTACACAGTAAAGGCGAAGAAGCTAGAAACTCTGCAAAGATGGGGGTAAAAAAACTGAATAAAGGCTTCAGAGTTTAGCCCTTATTTCTCCTGCCTTTAAAATAACAAAGGCAATGAATTCACTGTGCTAAATTCTGCAATATGAAAATGCCTAATGACTGTGTGACACTGAGACCATACAGGCGACTTGATCTTGAGATCCCCGTGAATAGTGAAATCTGCGAAATCTGCCCCCAGTGGCTGGGGGGGGGCCACAGCTGTGTTGGTCATGGTGGGAGCCCACCAGTGGCAGCAGCAGGAGCCTGGTGGGGGTAAGCACAGAGCTCCCGAGGAGCTCCTGTAAGTGTAGTTAAGATATTTGTGCTAGCGGGAGGGGGAAATGTATATTTAAGATGCGGGTTTGGCATTCGTGAATAGTGAGGGTTTCCTGTAT